ACGAAAAATGCTAACAAAAAAGTTGACAAGTGCTGCGGCTGTGTCTGCCCTTCGAGTGCTTGAAGCGAAATAGTGACTCGCAACTCTGCGGCACGTTGTCTTACGCGAGAGCTGCGCCCCTCTCTTCCATTCTCTCTCTCTCTCTCACTCTTCATCTCTGTTGCCAATCCCGCTCTTAATCTTCTGCCCAAACTCTCTCTTCGGTTATGCAAGAAAGCGCGCCTCGGATCGCGCCTCGGCTGAAGAATTTATGGCTTCTCGCCTTGCGCCGAGTCTTTGGGTAAGTAAACATTGCGTTATGCTTCAGCTGCGACAATCCCCACACAGCCCCCTCAGCCCTCAACGTTAGTGATTGCCCATCATAAATGCCTGTCTGTACTAATCGTGATATGGGGACAGTTGAGGTCTAGTAAAATGACCAGCACCCACATGGGTCTAGCGTTGTATCTGGGCCAGATACTAAGGCAATCTATTCGCAAACAAGTTGAATGCATTGCATAAAAGTGCAGAGATTAATCTAAGATCCGTTGACAAAGAGTGGCAATTAAAGCCAAACGACAACTAATCTTAATACTTGCCAGAGACTGTGATCCTTAGCCCCACACAATAAGAAATGCACTCTAGGTTAACTTCGCTGCTTCTAGTCGAAGCTTAACAAATATAAAAATATTTTTGATAAATGTATTCTAGGTCTTATTATATCCGATAGGAGGAGTTTGGTTACATCCCCCAATCTGAATTTTAGACGCTCAAAGTCTCAGAGTATTTTGATAGTAAATTGACAGACATGAATAAGACAAGCACAACTGCAATATGCCCTATTTAACACATTTGCAGGGTGTATATAGGGTATTAAATAGAATAAAACTGCGCAAATCTATGGCTTCTGTTTCTCTGATTAACTCATCTTCAATATACTGCTTAGCTATTTGACAGTAAAAAAAAAAGAAATGTGATCCAATCATAAGGTAGACCAGCCCACATCGAGTCCACATTACGATCTGCATAAGCCGCTAACCAGTTATGGGCTGGACAAGCACTTGTCTCGGGCCGGGACTTGGTCCCCCTGGCAATCACAGTCAAGCGTAGCGCTCGACATGTTTATTATTTTATCTTCGCATGGGGTCGATCCATTGGCAGATCACGCACCAAATGAGCGTGGCCTAACTACTCTACGCGGTAGTTCGACACGTAATTAACTAAATGAAATTGTTTTTTGTGACTCCCCAAGCAGCACTCGCTGAGCACCCCCACTCACGCTCGGAGAGTCGGTCCAAATAGAAATTAGCTGCGACATGCGAGATAAGCGATTGTCTGCCCTGTGTAAATACAGAGGAACAGCATTTTGCCGTGGCTCGCTTGGGCGGGGTGGCTGAAAAGGGGGTGGGCGGACAGGGGGCAGGGTATAAATTGCAGAATAGAAGAGCGCTATATAAGTATGTACGTTCGTTATCGCGAATCGTTCATGCTCAATTAACGCGCTCTTAACCAAATAAAACGCCAACTCTTTGCACCGCTTCCTCTGCTGCCATTTGCCATTTATTTAAAGACTGAAATTATTTATAAACATTTGTTGATCGCAACAGCAGCTTATCAAGCAAATAGAGCCCACTCTCTGCTCTATCAACAAGTATTTGAGTTTGTCTAGACGCTAAACAAACTCTTCACCTCTCTCTCTCTCTCTCACTCGCTCTCTCTCTCTCTCTCACTCTCTATACTTTTGTAACCTGCTCTGATCAATCGTCTACAGAAGTAAGTGCAGCGTCATAAATCACCCTAATGCACATCAGAGTGCAAAATGTATTCAATCCGAATACACACAAAACGTTTTTCAGCGATCGCTTCACTGAAAACCATATCGTGTAGAACAGTGAAAGCTTTGCTAACGAACAGCTTGCTGAGCTCCTAGTGCCAATATTATCTCCCTTCAGTTGAAGTTTCAGTAGAAAGATTTCAAGAAAGATTTGTGGATTTAATCAGATCTTTTCGAACGTGTTGCAGCAGATTGACCGAAGGGGTCTATAGACATAGCTATATTAACCTAAGATGTCCCAGAATATATTGATAGCTTAAGTATATAAAAAAATATTAAGGTGTACATAACTTTGATACGAGTCTCGAACTAATGTGTTTAATGTCCATTATAGTTTGCATTGCTCATACGCCCCAATGTCGCGAAAAAATAATCAAAACAAATGCAATAAAAGCCCGCTTCACAAGGAAAAAGAAAGCACAGAACAAAAGTCAAAATAACAACAAAAAATGTAAAAGCAAAGAAATGCCGGCAAAACGGGCTAAAGAATACTGCGTAATGCAACTGCAACCGGGGCGAACTCAAACAAGTTGCGAGCGGAGCGACTGAAACAGATTCGATTCAAACTGCAACAGCGAACAGCAACAAAAGCAAAGCAACTACAAAGTGCAGCGCCGGCGAAAGCAGCAGCAGCAGCAGCAGCAGCAACAACGTGAAGAAGAACAACAACAACAATGAGAGTGTGACAGCCAGCCAATGTGTGTGAGGCTGCCTATGTACAAGGGCGCGCTTGCATGTCTGCGTGTGTGTTTGCCAGCTTGCGAGAGGGGCAAACGTGTTTGTATGTGTGAGTGTCCGTGTACAGCCCCCAAAAGCATTTCTCCAAATGCAGCGCCGTCGACGGCAGCGTCATACGCTCTCTGGGCTTTGATACCGTTGCCGTCGTCCGTTGCATTCAGTCGCTGGTCGCACTCGTGGCCCAAGCAAACACAGCCAAACATTACACACACCCAGAGAAATTTGCTCGCACACACACACATAGAAACACGGACGAACACATGCGGAAATTCGCTGCCTGCTGCGCTCAACGATTTTTGAGTTCTTCACATCCGCGTCTTGGGACCCAATGTGAGTTGCCTTGCGCACGCCAAAGATTTCAGATCGAACAGCAGCACCAGCAACAGCCGCAGTCGCAGTCGCAGCCGCAGTAGCAGCAGAAAAAGCTCAGCTCGCGCGAATCGCGAACCGCCGTCACAAAGTGTGCAAGCATAAAGGAAAAGCCCTGCTTAACAAACAGATCGATCATATATTTCTTCAGTTGTCTGAATTAATTCCATCATCTTTTTTTTTTATCACGTATCGTTTGTCGTGTTTTTTTTCGCTGTCGTGCTTGTTGTTGTTGTTGTTGTTGTCGTGCGCGTTTTGCCGGCGGCGATCGCTCGCAAAAAACGTTCTTAAGTGATTTTTTGTTTGTTGTGCGACAATATTAACTGCATAAAAAGTGCTGCAAATAAATAAATAACTAATAAACGAATAAAATAATCTATTACGTATAAATATAAGCGTAATTGTTAAACAAAAACATATATATACATACATGCATATATATATTTATAACACTTAAAATTTAAACTTCATGTCTAAGAGTCAGTTAAAAGTTTATTCAATATTCCAAAAATAATCGTATATACTCCAACTCTAAATAAATATAACATAAATATTATAAACACTTTTCAATCTGCATACTTTGATATAAGGTAAAGCAAAAACCTAAGTGAAACATGTGTATTACATATAAACATAAGACACAGATTCGAAATTAAATTAGTTCTAGATATTCGAATAGAAGTTTCTCCAATTAAACACATCATATAAGCAAATGACAGAGGATACATTTACACAGAAATAGAGAATGAATTGTATTATTCAATAGATTTATTCTTAATCCCAAATTTTCTAAATCATAGCGTCAAGTCCAGACCCCAATTTGAGAAACATTGTGCTTGGATTTAGAATGTTTTAAGCTTATTTCCAGAATGCAATACACTTGTTCCTTTCTATTAATTTTTCTACTAATTTCCTTGTATATTAATACTTCATTTAAGAATTATTTCCACAAAAATATTTTAATTAAATAGTTTACTTTTCTCTGATCTATTGTGAGAGATCCATGCTGAGCTCTACTTCAAATAAAAATAGATAATTAATATTATGAAGCATCGAATTGTTGCACGTGTAAAATCTCATTAGTAAATGCGACATGTGAGGACTGTAATTAAGATTAGATAATTGGCAGAAAGTTTTGGAAGTATCTGTATAATTAGATCGCGTTGGGCAGCTCCACCTTTAAATTGTAACCGATATTCAGAACATCAGATCACATCAACTGATGTTTGTTTAAACATTTGCTCTGTTGCTCTGTTTGGTGCCGAAAGGCGTGACACCGTTCAAAGATTATCAAATTAAACAACATTTTTGACCATTTTTTAATTTGTTTTAATTGCCCAGCCATATGCCATGTCAGGCTACAAAAATTTCAACTTTTAGCTTGAATTATTTTGAAATTAGCAACAAGAACAAAATTAGAAAGAAAAATAAAGAAAAATCATTTGAATAGAGCTCCCACACAATTGCCGCTTAAAAGTGCGTGAAAAATTGTTGGGCTAAATATTGGAAAAATTCTTCGGGCATAATAAACAAATGCAATTTGTTTGGCAATGCAAACGAAGCGTGTCGAACAGCGTCCAAATAGGCAAAACTTTCATCTTATACGAAATATTATTTCTCTAGAATAATTGGCCAAATTGCACAGCTGTTCGCCTGATCGCCTGCCCCCATCGATTACATCAGCAGCCACGCAAGGAGAGTTTTTTTCATCGCGGAATTAGCACTATTTTCTAGAGAGCTTACCTAAATCAAAATTGTCCAAAGCAACTTGCATACTCTTCTGTTGTACTTTCAGGTCCGAAAATTAGTACAAAGAAATTGAAATTAAAGAATTTCTTAATGTTTTGGATATTTTTCTATTGACTTTATCTAGTGCAAAAGCTTAAACAAATCAAATATTTGTCTTTTCTTTGCAGGCAACAATATTGAAATTAATATAAAAATAAAAACAAAATAAACAAAATATTTAAAAGTCGCAAAAAGTAAAAATAATTAAAACAAAAAACAATAAAACATTAATCAATTACGCACATCAATAACTTATTCCACGCCATTTATTGAAATATTAAAAAAAAAAATAGAATACCTAATCTATTCAAAACGGAATTAAATTAAATTATCAATTCAATAAAATTCTTAAATCAGCTTAAAATCTATTCAAATATATTAACACAAAAAAAAAGCACACACAGAAATTACGCGTTTAATAAATATCAACCAACTAAAATATTTAATATAATAATATGAACTATTAAATTTAATCGAAAAATGCTACCCAATTATTGTTGCGAGGCTTAAAGTTTGAAGGCCAATTAAATAAAATACTTGGGATTACGCCACGCGCAAACAAATTGAGCACAGTTAATACACCGAGTGCTTGTCCATTTGGCATGGTTTCAGAGGAGAATTGGAACAGCGACACCATGTCCGACTCGGACATGATCGACTCGAAGAACGATGTGTGCGGCGGCGCGTCCAGCTCCAGCGGCAGCTCCATATCGCCACGCACGCCGCCGAACTGTGCGCGCTGTCGCAACCACGGGCTGAAGATCACATTGAAGGGCCACAAGCGGTACTGCAAGTACCGCTATTGCACCTGCGACAAGTGCCGCCTGACCGCCGACAGGCAGCGCGTGATGGCGCTGCAGACGGCGCTGCGGCGCGCCCAGGCGCAGGACGAGCAGCGCTCGCTGCACATGCACGAGGTGCCGCCGCCGGCGGGCTCCACAGCGGCCCTGCTCAGTCATCACGGGCATCATCATCACGTGCATGCGCACGCCCACAGCCACGCCCATGTGCACCACGGGCATGGCCATCATGCACACGTGTTGCACCACCAGCAGCAGGCCGCAGCGACGGCAGTGGCAGCTGCCCCGCCGCCCCAGCCGCAATCGCATCTGGGCGCTGCCCATAACGGCTCGGCGGGCAGTCTGCATGGCCACGCCCATGCGCACGCCCATGTGCATCACGCTCACATGGCAAGCACCGCTGTCGCCTCAGTGGTGCAACAGCAGCAGCAGCAGCACCACCAGCAGCAGCAGCAGCAACAGCAGCACCAGCACCACCACCACAGCAACCACCAGCAGCCACAGCCGCAGCCGCATCAGGCATCGCTCCGATCTCCCTCACACAGCGATCATGGCGGCAGCGTGGGCGCAGCCACCAGCAGCTCCGGTGGCGCCAGCTCCAGCAATGTGGCAGCTGCCTCAAGCAGCGGCACGGGTGGAGCAGGCGCCGGCAGTGGTGGCATTAGCGTCATAACCAGCGCTGACCAGCACATGTCCACGGTGCCAACGCCCGCACAGTCCCTGGAGGGTTCCTGCGACTCATCATCGCCATCGCCATCGTCCACATCGGGCAACGCCGTTCTGCCCATCTCCGTGTCCAGCACACGCAAGAATGTGCCACTGGGTAAGTGCTCAAGCTAAAGATTTCCATTCGAATACCCTTAATATCAAGTTAAGAACAACGAGTAACCGGGGGCTCGAACTTCGACCCTTACGCTAGTGGGATATAGGCATTTTTTTAGCTAAAGGCCAATAGAAGCCATAGCTATTCAAAAGTTTGGCTCAAAACTAATAATAATGATAATGAATAATGAATAATGAGTAATGAGAAATGAATAATGAGTAATAAATGATGAATAATGAGTACTGTGTAATGAATAATGAATATTGAGCAATGAATAACATCAATAATAATAATAAATAATGAATAATAACAATAATAATAATGAATAATGAATCAAAACAATAATAATAATGAATAATGAATAATGAATAATAACAACAATAATGAGTAATGTATAATAACAATTATAATAATAATAAATAATAAAAATAAAAATAATAATGAATATTCAATAATAATAATATCAAAAAAAAATTGAATAACAACAAAAGTAATAGTCAAGAATATCCCAAACTCAGTCAAAAATTAAGGGAAGATCTATTTTAAAAAATAATTATTGGATTTTCCATGCTTTTGAAAAGGAATCAAGAATTTTATACTCAAAACAACTGCAAAAATTGTCTAAAAACGAAACCAAATTCTTATTTCAAAAAGTCAATTTTAGTGCTGATATTTATAAATAGAAGACTTACAAATATTTAAACCAAGCTCTACTTCAATTGAGACAGTTTTACGCTTATATCAAGTGTGCAGTTTGTTGTATCAAGTATTTTGGTACTTCATTCAAGATTATTTTATCTATTAAAATGCATACTTATGCCTCATTTATAAAATACCTCAAAAAGAAAGCAAGACAAAAATTTGGCAGACAGCCGACATTGTTGTCAGTCTGGCAACTAAGTGTTTTGTCACTTTAAGAGTCCACAATGCAACCACTAATAGAGGGCGGCGCTGGCAGTACTTACCAACATCTCGACTCTGGGCACGTACACACATGGAGGCAGTCGGGCAGTAGAGCCTGCAACAGGCCTAATCAAGTTGCAGTTGTTTATTGTGGCAGTCCCGAGTCAGGGCAGAGCAAGGGGCACAGCTCTGGACAGCTGCCAGCAGTCGGTGGCCGCCCTTTTGGCCAGAAGATGTGCCACTAATTGTTTACGCAGTGAGAAATGCCAATTCCGTGCTAACACATTGCATAATCAATTATTCCGCAGCATCGAGGCTGTCAACAGATTCGACTCACATGGAAAGCTGAGCAAATAACTGTGAAAATAAGAATTAATTTTGAATTAATAATACAAATTTTCAAAAATATTAATAATTAAATTTAAAACTTTACAGTGGCTTACAAACTGTGAAATTAAAACTGAAGAATAACTTGGCCTGATCCAGCAACCCAATTCAAAGAGTCTAGCTGACTTATATAATGTTTGTGGTTCTTAAACTGTAACTCCGAAGCAATGGGTTTCAAACTGTGCTATTAAAATTGTGAAAGAAAGAGTAGAAGTTTGTGACTCTAAAACTGTAACTGTTAATACTGTAAAAGTAGAAGACTATCATTAAGCTAACTATTGAAGCTTCAAGATTATCTTGTTCAAACTTTAACTGCAAGACAGTAGCTTTCAAACTGCGCCATTAAAAGTGTAAGAGGAAGAGGAAGAGATAATTGGTAAGCAAACTTCCAAATGTGCAGACCTTAGCTTATTATTTTGATGTTTGTGACTCTAAAACTGTAACAACACGCCTGTCGGTTTCAAACTGCACTATTAAAAGATTAAGATAAAGAGTAAGAGACAATCATTAGGTTAACTGTGAAAATTTGAAGGCCATATCTTATTATTTTTATGTTTGTGACTCTAAAACTGTAAAAAAATAATAGATCTACCAAATTTAGAAAATTCAACATACTCTCTCTTACTTTGCAAACATGGTATAAAATAGATCAGAAAAGATAAAAGCTTTTTGCAAATATTCCTATTAAGAATTTCACTGAATTTAATATAAATTTAAATTAAATTTATTGCCTTGAAAAAAAAGAAAATCGAAACACACCAAAAATATATACAAGATTTTCGACAGACTGAGCCGTGGCACGTGTAGCGTCTGTCTAGGGGAATATCTAAAATTGGCTGCACAATCAAGACAAATTTAATCGTGTAGGAAGGGGGCAAAAATTGAGCATAGGCGCCAAAAGCGTCACCATCTCAGAGGCAACTTTGATGCCAAGTGCCAAATGACAAGTGTTTGGCCCGTGGTGGCTCTTTCTGGTTTCAGCTGATGAGTGGGCAGCAAAGCGAATGAACGTGAAGTGCAACAAAGTTGCCGGGCAGCAAAAGAAAACAGAAAACTCGAAACTCGAGCTTAAAAGTGAGACTCGAGCCCGGCAACAAGTTTGAGCCGAACGGGTTAGGCGAGGTAGCCCGACAGATTACAGTGGGTGCCAGCCAAGCCAAGCGGTCGGCTTCCGTTTGGATGGACCCAGGTTCGAGTCCGACGAGCGGCAATCTTTACCATTGTCTTTACACCCATGTCCGATCTGTCCGAGGATATGTGTCTGCATGTCTGAAATCATTGGGTTATCACGCGAATGGAAATGTGTCTGCTGAGTGTTTTGATGAATGCTCATGCCGGGCTGCCCTGACAGGCTAGGCTCATAAGCTGCGGCACTTGTCTGCAATTTAATTCAGTATTTGTATGCGCTCTGTGTGTGTGTGTTGCTGCGGCTGAGCAGCAATTAGAGAAAAAACCTGGCCAAAAGAGACGCGCGACGCGAGGCTAAGTGCACAAGAACTGACACTAATTTTATGGCCAGCTACTTTGTTGGACAGACAGCAACATGTACTTATGACATATGTGATTTATCTTCAGCTATTTAGTTGAGCTAGTCAAACGGACAGCGAGGAATATATGTGTAGATATAGATATGCATAAAGATTTGGTATCAATATTTATACAACAAGAAAACTGGATTTGAAGCTGGAGTCAGTTACCCAAGAAAAGGGCTGAAAATGTCAAATGCTTCATTTGAAATTGAACAGCAAAAGTACAGAACCAATGTTCAAATTGTGTAGATATGTGTAGATATTGATATGAATAAAGATTTGGTATCAATATTTATACAGCAAGAAACTAAACTTGAAGCTGGAGTCAGTACTCCAAGAAAATGTCAAATGCTTCATTTGAAATTGAACAGCTAAAATGAATAACCAACATTTTTTTGGGCCTACAGTCATGTTATAGATAGGTATATGTACTTATAGGGAAATAAAAACATATAGCTCAAGATAGTCGTACCTATAGATATATTTATATAGGCATAGCTAGACAGAGCAATAGAGATAAGTATGGAAACAGACTTACACTCTGTGCGTCTGGCATGGGTTAGGCATAGGCGAAGGTATATAGTGGAAATAAACGAATACTTATAAGGAAATATAATAATTTGAATTACTTTTGCAAAAACAAATTCAGGGAATATAAAAAATTCCTAAGAAGCAATCGCGTCTTTACGACGTCTTGAGGCTCTCTCACACTCTCTCTCCCCCTCAATCTTGAGTTTCAAACGATCCCTCCTCGGCACTTTAAGCCCTGTTCTATTCCTAGTCACGTAACTGCAACTGCAACTGCAACTGCGACTGCAATTATGAGAATGCTTGCGACTTTTGACTGGGGCTTGGCTGCCAGCAAGTAGTTTAGCAGTCGTAAAACTTGGCTGGCTTTGGGTTCGGCATTGGTTTCGGAAGGTTTTTATACCCTGAACCCATTGAAAATGGGAAATAGGGTATATTGATTTTCAGCGAATGTACACAACAGGCAGACCCCTTAAGAACGACGAGCATTTGTACAATATTATCTCCCATTTTGCATAATATCGATAAATATCGATTTTGAGACATATTTTTTGTTAACATAACTTGAAAATTACAAAAGATAGATATACCAAACATGATATGGAGCTGTAGTATATGCAGAATTAAAATATTTCACTTTTTGGATACCTCTCACTTGTTTCCCGAAATTGGAAAACAGCTAATTTTTAAAGGTAGAGCCTTGAGATAAGGTATACATACGCTTATATGCCTTACTTAAGCAATGAAAATGTCAATACAATCGGACTATAAGCACCGAATATATTCAAGAATGCATTTACCATTCATAAAGCGGGGCCATGGAAAGAATATGGTTTCTACGCTGTGCGAGTGGGTTTTTGTGTGTGTCTATAAAGAATGGGTATATGCTAGTCGGGCACTCGCGCTTGTTCTTAGAGGTATATAGGGTTTTACGGGTTCGAATCGGTAAGCCGTAAACATCAAGTGGTTCGGCAGTTAGCAGGTTGCAGGCTCGACTGCCAATCGATAGACTTCGGTTTCAGTTAATTAATTTAATGCGCTCGCGCTAATTTCTAGACTCTAAAGACAGGCAGCTCAGTTCGTGCAGCTTCCTCTTCCCATAGCGTGCCAGTGTGTGTCTGCGCGTGTGTGTGTGTGTTTTTTTTTTCGCCAGAAAATCCCCAACAAACTTTGGCGCGCTCGTAAAAATGAAGTTGTAAAATGTATTTTTGTTACCCTTTCTTCAGCTTGTTGTGTTTTCGATTTCATTTCAAATGGCAGCCATATTTTGTTGCTGCAGTAGTTTTGCATTTTTTTTTTATATAGTTTTTTTATTTTTATTTTTATTATTATTTGAGAGAATTGCGCTCTGGGGCGGTCCAGGGATCAGAGAGTAGCAGCAGGCGCGACTTGACAGGTCATTTCGTTGCATAATTTATGAGATTTCCAGCTAATATGTTGGCATTACTTTTTAATACTTTTGCGGCGCTTTATTGAAAGCCAGGATTATGCGCCCAAATGACTCTTTAATTATGTGGCCAGCAGCAGAACTGGCCGACAGTCCGGTAACAAAACAACAATAACAACAACAACAACAACTGAAACAATTTTAACTTGAACTATAAAAACATGTTTTGTGCAATTAAAGTTGCTTTTATGAGCAGAAAATTAGTC